CCCGTCCACCTCCACCCCGACCCCGCCCACGCCGGCCCAGTCCTCCGGGAGGCCCCCTGGCCAGTCCAGCACAGAGCCCAGAGGCGCAGCGAGGGTGTCCACCCAGCAGGTGGTGCCCCGTCCATGAACCTGGACAGGAACCTGGGGAGCAGGAAAGTGAGGCCCAGCCCAGGACACCCCAGCCCCATCAGGCTTCGGGGCGCCTGCCCACGGGGTCACTAGGACAACAGTACTGGACACCCGCCACAGACCAGGCGTGTGCTGACCGGCCAGGTCAGCTGAGTGGGGGCTTGGTGTCGGAGCCACTGGCAACATGGGGGTGCCGTCCTGTCTTTATGCAGAATTTGGGGTTTTGCTCAGCCTGGATTTTCCTTTAACTGCTTTTCTGAGATCGGGTTCAACACCCTGTGCCAGGCCGTTTCTGTTCCTCAAATTTAGAACATTCTTGTCGCCTTGAAAAGAAGCCCAGCCCGGGCCCTTGGTCTGCCCACTCTGGCGTCTTCCCGGCCTTCTCCCCAGTCCAGCCACCTGCCTGAGGCATGGGCCTGTCAGTCTCCAGTGACCCTGCATCTGGCCTTGGGGCTTCTCACACCCCCTTTCCTCTGCATCCTCACTGGGCTGCTGAGGGGCGTGGGGTTCCCAGGGGAGGACCCTGAAGGAGCGGCTCCGCAGGGGGCCGCTCCTGGCTGGGGGGCGGCCCGAGGTCACTTGCCCCCTGCTCCATGGCCTGCAGCTCCTGCCCCAAAGGGCAGCGCCAAAGGATCTGGGTGCGTGGGCATCTCTGCTGTGCCACACCTGCCCAGCTCTGGGACCTGGTGCCCACAGCCCCCCACCGCAGGGCCCACTTTGGGGCTGCCCCATGACCTCCCACCATCACGGCACCCGCCCCCCCAACTTTGTGTAGCCATGAGCAGGGGAGTGCAGGTCCCCAGGACATGGAGATACCCCTGCGCGGGGCGCCGAGAGGGCAGCTCCCTGGACACTGCCCCAAGGAGCAGAGGAGCACGGGGCAGATCTGTGTGCACCCAAGTCAGGCTGTGCTGGCCCCAGGCTAGGGCCCTGGGGTCTGGGGGCCATCAGCCCAGAGGAGCAGCCGGCGTGGGGCAAGGAGACCCCTACAGCCCCACGGAGACCACCTCGCTGCCCCTCTAGCCCGGGGTGGGCGGAGGCAGGAGGGAGGGAGTCTGAGCTGGAGGCCATGAGGACCCCGCGAGATGGCCGGAACCCAGGGCTGGGCATCTCCGGTTTGGGACGGCTAGAGAGGTCGTAGAAAGGGGCCGAGGGGCCAGGCAGCCTGCAGAAGAGTGTCCGGCCTGCGGGGAGGGCCTGTGCCACGGACGCAACCCGTGGCTGCTGCTCTGGGCACCTCTCGTCCTCTGAGCGCAGGCCGAGCCAGCCCTGACCAGTGGCCTGGGGCCTCGGGAGGCAGGGCCGGCCCGCTGACGCGGCGTTTCTCCTGGCCAGTTTGCAGGGTCCAGTGCGGACGGCACCCGGCGGGGGATGGGCGTGGACATCTCTCTGCTGAGCTGCCAGTACTTCCTGGCCCAGATCCTGGTCTCCCTGGTGCTGGGGCCCCTGACCTCGGCCGTAGGCAGCGCCAACGGAGTGATGTACTTCTCCAGCCTGGTGGCCTTCCTGGGCTGCCTGTACTCCTCCCTGTGTGTGGTGTACGAGCTCCCTCCCAGCGACGCCGAGGAGGAGCGCCGGCCCCTGCTCCTCAACGTCTGACCGGGCCGGCCGGGCGGGCCCCCGGCGTGTGCATATGTGGTGACAATAAATGGCAGCAACAAGAGCCAGTTGCTAGTGGGGCCTCGGGGGGCCTCCTGGGGCCTCGGGAAGGCACAGAGCCCTTCTGTGAATGTGAAGGTGATGAGAACCATTTGATGGCCTCACCGGGGGCCCCCAAGACACCTGCCTGCGCCAGAAGGCATCTCTGGCTGTCACAGCTCAGGTGGTGCCGCTGTCTGGGGGGTCAGGAGACACCCTAAATGCACGGCAGCCCCCCAACAGAGGGTTATCCTGTGAGGTGGAGTGTAACTGAGCACACACCCTTCACATCCCGGATGAATGAGCGGACGATGCTTTGGGTCAGTGGTCTCCACGCCCACCCCCCTTCCTTCTACCCACGCAGCCATCCATCCACCCGTCTGTCCATCCGTCCCTCCACCCACCCACCGCACCCATTGGTCCGCCCGTCCACCCACGCATCCAGACGTCTGTACCCACATCTGTCCGTGCTGGGTGTGGTAGGCAGCGGTGGGCACTAGGGACCCACCCTCGGGCCCCGCATCTGCCTGGTGGTTTGGTGTGAGGTGAGGAGTTGCCACCAAGGTCCATGCCTAGGGTGAGGGCTCGCAGGCAGCAGGAAGCGGGGAGCGCTGTGCAGGGGTGGTGTCTGGGCGGCCTCTCAGCGAGTGACCATCAGTGTATCGCAGGGTGAAGTGCCCTCGTGGAGCAAGAAGATACCCGAGGCCTGAGCAGGGCCTTCCCTGCTGCAGCAGGGGGGTCCCAGGCCCCAGTGCCTGGACTGCAAAGCCCCCGTGAAGTGAGACCCTCAGAAGGCTAGGCCCCATGCGTGCAGACCGCAGGGCGAGCCCCAGCTTCATGGGAGGCCCCTGCGCTGGGCTGGGCCTGGCCCCCGGAGGCCACTGCATGGCTCGGACACACACAGGACATGCTGGTCACATGTTTTGAACAAGCAGCAAGGGTCCTGGGCCCGTCACTGCCTCTGGGCCGTCGGTCACGGCCGTGAACGTGCTGTCATCCTGCGCTGGCCAGCGAGGCACAGCTGGGCACCAAACAGCTTCCCCGGGCACGTCGTTGGCCCACTGTGCCCAGCCTCCCCCTCAGGGCCTCGCTGCTGCCCTCCTGGGGCTGGGGTGGCGCCAGAAGACCCCGCAGGCCCTTCTCTGCCTGGGCCCACCTTGCCTCCAGGCTCACCCAGGCCCAGCCCTCCTCACGGCCTCCTGCTCTGCTGCCACACAGCCCACGCCCTCTGCCGCCACGCTCCCCTGCGTGGCCCTTCCTCTTCTAAGGCTTCCTGCGAGCCACGACACCGCTGCCTGCCCGGGTGGAATCACCCGCCCCGTCCTTCAGGTCGTGTCACTTCACTCTCCCTGGCTACGAGTCGAGTGAGGGACGGCCACCTGGCCACGTGGTGGAGCAGACCAGGCCCCAGTCAGGTTTCCTGCTGTGCCCGGGAGCCGGCTCTTGTCCAGCCCACTGTTTCGGTGCTTAGAGGAGGTTCAGGTTTCTAGAAACCGTGGCGTCGGTGGTGGCTGTGTTGCCTGCTCAGAATGGCCAACTCTGCGGGAGACGGGGACAGTGCGGGCCGTCACTGCTGCCCCCCAGCCCGCGCCTCTTCCGAGAACTGCCCAAGCCAACAAAGGGTGCTCACTCGCGGATGTGGGCATCTGCGCCCGGCTGCGCTGCTGGGGGCGGGGCGGTAGGCTGGTCAGTGTGGGAGCCGCCCTCAGGCCAGTCCCCACAGATGGCAGGGGAGCAAACCCCGAGGCCCAGTTTGCCAAGAGCCACACCCGCTTGACTTCCACGTCCCTCGGAACCCCTCAAGAGTCAAGCCTGACGCTGGGGTGCTGTGACCAACGCGGCCTGGAGGCCCCGACGCCCTGTGGGGAGCTCAGGGCTCCAGCATGCCTTCCTGCAGCCTCTTCTCCGCCCGCTGGGGACGGGGACATCACCCTGCTTGGCAGCAACACTCTAAGCCGCTCAGTGCCTTTTCTAGAGCTTTCTGTGACCTCGCTGCCGGGAGCAGGGAGTCCCCGGGGGGTGGGGGGGGCGACTCCTCTTCCAGAGAGAGGAAAGGGAGGAAGTCTCGGCCCTGGGTGCTGCGGCTCCCGGCACCAACTCCCGCTCCTCGGCCCTGGGAGCGGGCGAGACAGGCGTGCTGAGCTCAGCCTCAGGCTGCAGAGGGGACACTGGACGCGGGGCGGGGGCGGCGGAAGCCCCTTCCCCAGGCCGCGGGCCGGCCGGGCCACGTTCGGGGGTGGAGGCGGCTGCCCGGAACATGCCAGAACCCGCGCTCGTAAGGCTGAGCCGAGCTTGGTGCCCCGCCGCCACCGGCTAGTGTCCTGGGGGCGCGGTGCCCTGGGCCTCGGCCCTGCCAGGAGCTGGCCAGACAACCGAGACCCTCCTCAAGACCGGGTTGGGGGCACGTGCAGGACAGGGGCCCGAGGGGCGTGGGGGCCATCACCCGAGACCCCTGCTGAGCACGCAGGACGTTTCCGAGCGCCCCGTGCACGGGTGCTGGCTGGGAGGTGCAGCCGTCTCCGGGACAGCGACAGCCTCAGCCCCTGCGGCTCCAGCCCCTTGCTGCCGCCCCCGGTCTTGCTTCTCCTGCCCCGTGGTCCAGCCGCCTTTGGGCCGGACACCCACCCAGGACGGCTCCTCCAGGGCCAGCGACCCTTCTACAAAGGCTTCCGAGACCCCAGCGCCGCCCTGGGCTTTGCCGCCGCCGCCACCTGGTGGCCGGGGCCGGAGTGGCAGCCACATTCCAACAGGCTGCGGCCGCCGTTAACTGCTCCCTGGGCCAAAGATCTGCCAAGCAACCTTGGCCTGAGGGGTGTAACTTGAACCCTAGGCTCACCAGACTGACCCTCAGCACACCCCAAACTTCTGAGGGGTGAAATGGCCGGGCTGCTGAAGCTGTAGCCTGGACAAACCCAGCCGCACAGCCGAGGCTGCCCTGCCCTGGCCAGTGGGCGTGAGACAAGTACCCTACTGGTCTTAGCCTTAGCCGACAGCCAGGGTGTGCATGTCACCAGCTGTCCAGTCCTTGGCTGCCGGGTTAGGCACTTACCTCAACTGGACTGGGCTGTCAGGAGAGGCTGGTCAGTCTCAGAGGACCTCACACGGCACCTTGCTCTTTCTGTGCGCGCAGGGTCTCGCCCACTGAGCCCAACCTGACCGTCACCACGGCCACTGCAGCCTCCACTGCATGACGCAGCTGTCCGGGCACCTGAGGGCCCGCGAGGGAGGCCGCGGTGCAACCTCACCCAGGGCTCTGACTGACCTCAGGGCCACCCACTGGGGGCCCCGGCTCCCGGCACTTAGCAGGGACATTGGTCATCATGGCAACTAAGCACCGGGTTGGCAGAGGCCAGGATTTCACATCAATCACCACCTTCTCCGTCAGCAGAGCCCCAGGGGCCACCAGCTGCCACGCCCAGGCTGGTCCACTCTCAGGAACCAAGGGATGGGGGGCAGGGTGTGCGCAGCAGTCACTGGACTGACCAGTGGACTGCACGCGGCAGGTGACGGGGTGCCCCCAGCCCTTCTCTGCCACACAGGTGCAGCCACCGTGCCGATGCCTGCTCTTCACCTGTCTCGGAACTCCTATCTCCAGACAGGTGCCCACGGGCAGCCGCAGTTCCTCAGAGCATGGCCGAGCCGAGGCCACATGCCGCTGCCCTGTCTCCTTGCCCACCCAGGCCCTTCCGCCTCCACGGCTCCCGCCTGCAGACCCTCAGGTCGTCCCACCCTCCCGCACCGCTGGCCTGGATGCCGGCTGTCTGCTGACACACAAGTGTCCCCAGGACCGTGGACACGGGCACCACGTGGGTGCCAGTGCTGGCGAAGCCTCTGCACAGAGGCAGCTGTGCCTGGGCAGAAGGTTCATCAGCAAGAGTGCTCTGGGGAGACAGGCTCCCCGCATCCACTGTTCCCAGATGAACAGGTGAGCACGCCCATTTTCCAGGGGCCACTGGAAGCGTCAGGAAAATGCCTGATACCAGCCTGATGACTGCTGTCCTTGGGGACCACTGGACCCCTGCCCTGGGCGCTGGGCTAGGAAGCCATCGGGATGTCCCTGGGTGGGACAGGAGTGATGTCCATTGCCTGGGGGACCCAGGAGAGTAGGATCTGGTGGGGAGGGTGCTCTTAAGCCTCTGGGGGCCCAATTTGGGGCCCCATAGTTTCACATCAGTAGGCTGAGGCCGCCCCAGGAGCCAGTGTTCACCAGAGCAGAGAAGCCTCACCTCCCACAGAGCAGGCGGGCCTCCCTGGAAGTGGCTTTGGGAGGTGAAACAGAGGTCAGCGCAGCCGGGAATGCAGGCTCCCCTTGCCCTTCCCCATGCAGGGGAGCGGAGGGACCCCCCACCCCCAAGAAGAAGACACAGCCCGCCGGTCAGCGCCCAGGCATTGTAGTGTAGCTTGGTTTTATTTATGTCCACAAATATTTCAAAAAAATTACAAAATACTCAAATGGAGAGAACACAGAAGTCACGATTCTGGGTGTCTACTCTGCTCACACTGTCATCTCATGGCAACTACTCGTATATACATTTAGCTCAAGATATATAGAGACGTAGCAAATCAGGATGTACACGCGCTCTGCGGCTGCGCAGTGAACTGAAGCTCAACCTCGACGACAGGGAACAAGGGACGACAACACGGAGCAAACCCAGACTGCAGACGGGGCGGGGACCGCGGCGGGGGGGCTGAGGGGTCCGGCTTCACAGAACCGCGAGGCTGGCGCCTCCAAACCGAAGCGCCGTGACCGGTGAGGGGTGAGGGGTGTGGGCTGTGATGGAAGAATCTCAGTGCTTCACCTGGGGGGGGGAGGGAGGAGGGAACCAGACGGCGCGCCCCAGACAGCGCTCAGGCACACACCGCGAGGACCCCTCTTCTTTGGAAACATGGGCAACAGAGGAGACAGAGGGTCGCGTTCAAGCAAAACAGAAGCCTCTCGGGGAGAGGTGGGCGGCCAGGGTGGGCGGGGTGGGAGGAGCGGCAGGGGTCGGCCGGCCTGTCTGGTCCAGAGTCGGACGAGAAGAGGCCCGGCCGGGCCCCAGGCCCTGGGGACAGCACCTCGCTTGCACACTGGCACCCCAGAAACAGGCCTCCTGCCCGTGCGGCCTCAAGTTTGATGACCAAAAGTTCGTTCAAACTTGCCTCCTCTCTAAGGAGCTATAGTTAAGGCAGAAATGGAATGAGTTAACAAAAGAAAAAAACTACAACATTTTCAACAGACAACAACCCATTTATCTGTCCCAGATGAAACCAGCCGGGCTCTAACCAGCCGAACGGCCCGACCTGGCTGGGCTGGAGCCTAAATCTGAACCAGCACCCGAGGGCTGCTGGGCCAAAGCGCAACCTCTCCACCTGAACCCCTTCTACACAGGCTGACCCACAGGTCCTCTCCCGGGCCCAGCAGCTCCTGCCGTGACTACCGCATACACCTCAAGGGGGCCCTGGCGTCTGGGAGGGGAGTCCCAGGCTGGCAGAAGCTGCTGCTCACTGGGTGCAGCCGCCCCAAGCTGCCCTGCTCCTCACGCCAGCTTGGCTCAGCAGCCGCTAATCCTGCCTCCCACTCCCAGGGTGGCATGGGACCCAGACGGCCACTGCTGACAGGGGTCACCAGCCAGTCCTGCTCCTGGGCAGGCACCAGTGTGGGCCCCAGGTCCCCTCAAATGCAGGCTCCGTGCACACGGGCCGAGGATCGCCCGGCCTCACGAGATCAGGCGAGGCCACACACGGCAGGCTTCCAGCCGATCCCTCAGGCAAGCATATGTGCTGAGTTATTCACAGGGAATCATTTTCTTGAATTTTCTAGAATGTTTATGAAATTGTCAGAGTATTAAACAAGGCAGTTTACCCAGAACAATCAGATGTGTGTGCATAGAATTCGCTCAGGAAATCTACAGTCAGGCACACAAACATGTGCTTTCTACCCAGGACATTTAACTCCTGCACTCCTGGTGCAAAACAAAGAGGGTTCTAGAGTCTGCACCTCCGGCAAAGCACAGGCTGGGACAGACAGAAGGGAAAGCAAAGCGAACACAGAGAAACAGTTTGTGACGTCTTCCCTGCAGCCCCTGGGTGCCACCGAACCCAGCCCCAAGCTTCTGCCGTTGCAGCTAGTAACGCCCACCTGCTCCCTTTAATCAAAGGGATAATTATATATAACTTTTTATTAAAAAATCAACTCTGTATTCTGTCAATAGCTGGTAGGAATTCACAAGTAGTGACATGGCTGGGAAAAATAGATCAGAATAGTAGTTTGTGGAAGAAAAAAAAGGCTGTTCTAAAAGTACTTATTTACAGACGTAAAAAGCCATGCGCAGAACTTCCTCAAATCATGAAGATCTCCTACAATGTATTAAAATAAAAGATTTTTTAAAAATTATAGCTCTTGGATTCCAAACTCATATGCCGCCGAGCGGCAAACCTCGAGGGTTCTGGAACACACGTGCAAGTGTGTCTGCACACAGGGCGTGACCTGGGCTCTAGCACCGACTGAGAAATCAAGGGAGGAAAGAAAACAAAAGCAAAGCCAAACCCCAAGGTGGCAGGGAAGGGTTCCAAGTGTTCAGTCCAGTCCAGGACTCACTAAGTTTCTGGGGGACGGTCATGCAGGGAGACCCAAACCAGTCTCAAGGAATCCTCTCTACAAACGAACACTAGAATGCGGATACAATTTTAGTTGTGGGCTTTTAAATATATAAAGAAATCTTTAGAAGATATTCTTTTTGCTTTTGCAGCTCCTATTGTATGTAAAAAGTCCTGTTTCACCCTCCTAGAATTGGGGTTTCCACAGCCAGCGTAACAAATAAATAACTTATAACTGCTTGTCACCTTCTTTCTTCAGTCGACTGGAAAGGAAAAGAAAGAAAAGCCCCTTCAGCAGGGGGCCGGGGCGGGCCAGGGGCGGCCGCGGGGCCGGACACCACGGGAGCCCCCCCCCAGAGGCCCTAGGCAAAGGGAGGTGTGCCGAGGGCAGTCAGCAGAGGCCAGGCGGCGGGAGCCCTCACCTGTAATAGTCTTCCTGACTGGGCAGGTGGCCCCCGTGCATGTGGGGGTGTCCGTGCAGCCACTGCTGCTCCATGGCCAGTCTCTGCAGCTCCGCTGACTGGGCGTGCATGGCCTGCAGCTGGTGGGCTGCAGACATGGGGGGCGGGATGGCCCCCGGCAGGTCTCGGGGGTAGGGGGTGCCTGCCAACACAAAACAGCCTCTGCTACGGGGAAGCCAGGAGTGGGCTGTGCACCGGCAGGTGAGGGGAGCCCCACCTTTGGGGCAGGGGCCTGAGGTGCTACCCTGCCAAGTGCCCTGGTCAGAGCCCTGGGCTGGACAGATGCCCCTCCTTCCTGCCCACAAATGCTTACTGGACACACATTTGCTCCTCACCCCAGCTCCGGGGCAGAGGCTCACCTGCCAAGCACCCCCAGGCCAGACCAACCCGACTCAGCCCCAGGGGGTGCTTACCAAAGACGGGGTGACGAAGCATCTCGTGTTCATGAGGCGGCTGGCCAAGCAGAGGGTTGGGGAGGGTGCCAGGAGGATAGGGAAAGCGAGCCAGGTGAGGGCCAGCAGTCAGGGGGTCGACCAGCGGGTGAACTGGGCCTGCTGAACCTAGGAAGGGCACAGGAGCCTGGGTGCGGGCGGCGCAGGGCTCCGGGGCCCACGCTGTCGGTCCCTGGCTGACGTACCAGCTTCCTGGTGGCCAACACTCCGTCCCAAGTGGCTGCCCCGCCCGATGCCCACCACGGCAGGGGCTGCACAAGGCAAGCGCCCAGCAGCTGGCTGGCCTGGGTGCCTCCCTGTCTCCCAGCTGCCCAACAGGCGGACCCCCCACTCAGTCAGGGGTCCAGATCAGCAGAGTCCATCTGCGTGGGTGGGCCCCCAGCCCTTTTTCTGCTGCTGCTGGACCAGCACCACCCCACAGGGCTGCCTCTCTGGAAGTACAGGTCAGCACAGGACAGGAGCCCCCTGTTGGGCTCTCCCTTCAGCCAAAACTCCGGCCTCAGGCTGCAGACGGGAGACGCCCTCCCTGACTTCTCTGAGTCTGCTTAAGTAGCCTAGTGTGGCTGTCCAAACCTTGCCTGCCTTCTTTTTGGCACACAAGAACTGGGGTACAGGCAGAGATGCGGGGCTGAGAATTCACCAGAGGTAGAATGGGGAGCAGAACAGGCAGACTGAGTGAAACATACTGCTGTGGGGAGCAGCGGGCAGGTCAGGAGGTCAGCTGCGCAGTGGGCCACCTCCGGGGCAGGGACGGAACTCAGGACAGTGCTGAGTCTCAGCCCCTAAAGGCCAGGGAGGCCCTTCACAGCCTTCCCAGGCTGCCTCACTGCCCCGGTCCCACTGCTTAGTTCTCCTTCAGGCCCTTGCTCCTTTCACGAAGTGAGACACACCAGCTGCAGACCCCGGAGGGAGAGAAGGGGGGCCAGGGCGTCACCAGCACTGAGGACTGAGGGGCAGGGGTGCGCAGCTCACAGGAAGGAGGGAGAGCAGGGTGGTGCTCCCCGGGGGAGACCTTTACCAAGCAGCACCCGACTCTCATGGGGAGGACACCATGGCTCCTCGGTGCTCGGCCTGCCAGGAACCCAGTGCCGGGCACAACTCTGGGGTAGGAAGCGCCGGCCCCTCCCCCTCGAGTCCTGCGCTCCGGTGCCCAGCCCCCATTCCAGAGGGCTGCCCGGGAGCCTGGCAAGTGGGCCGAGCCCCAGACCTGCACAGCACACACCCCTGCCAGTGGAGGCACAGCCAGGCCTCCTGCCCCTGCCCCCTGGCACGTCCGCAGGTGCCGGCCCCTAGCGTGGCCAGGGCTGCCCGGAAAAAGCTCATCTGTCAGCAGATGCCCAAGTCCAGCTCCCGAGGGGGGAGCACAGGACTGTCAGTTCTCACCCCGTGGCCCTGGCTGTCCCAGCGTGTCCCTCGACACGCCCCGTGAGCACTGGGCGCCTCCCTTGCCCGACCCCCAGGCACAGGCCACGAACTCGGGTCTCCAGGAGGCCGTGGCAGGAGGCCCTCGGCCTAGCAGGCTCTGAGGGCGTGGGGGCGGCTGCGCAGAGCCGGGCCGCCCCTGGACGGGCCCCCGGACGCCAGCAGACACCCACCTTGGTGGAGGGGGTCCTGCTGGTGGAGGTGGAGGTGCGAGTGGATGTGGGAGTGCTGGTGGTGGTGTGGGGTCACGTTGAACATCTGCAGGCGGGCCAGGGGGTCGCTGGTCAGCGAGGCCATGCGCTCCGCGTGGATCCGCTCGGCGGCGAGTCTATCAGGGTAGCTCATTTCTGGCCGCAGCTGGGGGCCCGCCAGGGCCAGTCTCTCCCGCTCCAAGGGGTTCAGGCCCGGGTGGAAAGAAGCGAACGGGTGGGGGCCCGCAGCGGGGGGGATGGTGAGGGCACTGTGCCGGGCGAAGTGCTCCATAGGGTTGGTGGCGGGGTGCAGGGGGTCCAGCTCCGGGGGCTTCACCTCGAAGCCAGGCTTCATCCTCTCCCGCAGCTCGCGCTCGCGGATCTCGCGCTCGCGGATCTCCCGCTCCCGCAGCTCGCGCTCGCGCACGGTGGGGTCCACGCTGTAGAGGCCGGGCATGTGGTAGGCCAGCAAGGGGTCGGTGGGGTTGAGGGGCACGTAGAAGGGGTGGTTGCGGTTGGTCGGCGACATGACGTGGGGTCGCGCGTACTCGCTCAGAGTCCGAAGGGCCGGCGTGTCGGGCCCGATGTAGGGGGGCACGGCCGCGATGGTGGTGGGCGGCGGCTCGAAGGACGGCCGCATGTGGCCGGGACCCCCGAGCTGGGGGTCGCTGAGGCGGCCCTCGTGGGCGGAGCTGGACGCTTTCTGCTGAAGGAAAGGGGGTGTGAGGGGCCGGTGCTAGCCGCCACCCCACACTGCCCGCGGGCGCTGGGCTCTGGCCCCCGGCCCAGGCCAGCCCGCTGTGACACCCTCCCTGCGCCCGGCTTCCCCTGCACCCCGCTGGGCTTGTGTCTGTGCTGGCGGGACACGTGTGTACGCTGCGTGCCTGTGTACGAGTGTGCTGGGGTGCTCCCTGCCAGAGGCAGGCATGGGGCGCCCCACTGGAGGAAAGTCACTGCCGAGGTGCCCTGGGGTCCCCGGACTGCGCGGCCGCAGCAGCGGACTGCGGCGCCGTCAGTGCCTCTGGGCCTGCCAGGCTGCGGGCTGAGCGCGGGGGTCCAGGCTGCAGTGCTCACTCTGACAGCAGCGGCTCTCACAAGAACTGGGGAGCAGGGCACCCAGACCTCAGCACCCCAGGACTCACGGCCGCGCGCTCTGCCTCGCGCTCCCGCTCCCGCTCGCGCTCGCGCTCCTTCTCCTTCTCCTTCTCGCGCTCCCGCTCCTCCCGGGCCTTCTGCTCGGCCTCCCGCTTGGCCTTCTCCACGGCCTCCTCCCTCTTCTTGGCCAGCTTGGACCCCGCCAGAGGCATGAAGTAGAGGTCTGTCCGCGCGCACGAGTTGTAACCCCGATCCAGGTGCTTGTAGAACCTGAAAAGGCCCGTCTCTCACCGGGGCTCCCCCGCGGCCCCACCGGCCGGTCCTGGCCCGGCCCCTCGCCCGGCCTGGGAGCAGTACCTGGCCGACTGGCTGGCGTGGCTGGGGGTGTCCACCACAGTGGGCTCGGGGGATGGGCTCCGAGGTGGGGGAGGGGGACTCTCAGGCTCCTCAGCATCGTCCAGCGCCTCTTCCTTGATCTGGACGGGGGGGACCGGGCAGGCCCCCCCAGGCACACTGCCTCCAGAAGAAACAGCAGCAGAGCAGGGCGGCTGGGCTGAGGAGCTGGGGCCCGCAGGTGGGGTGGAGGTGGAGGGGCAGGTGGGTGGAGTGATGGGAGGGGGGCCACCGGGAA